TATGACTAAAGGTTGTTGTTTTGTTGTTTTTTTTTCAATTCAACCTAGGCACAAGAGGACATCTGCATTATTATTTTCCTCTTTCAGTGGAAATTTTTATATCTCTTCCAGTAATTAATCCAAAAATACACAGCCAGACTCTATTGCACTCATGCTATTCCATGACAAGTGTTCTGAGCCCAGATGTATCAGTGTAGAGACACTCAAAAAAGAATTATCAGATGGGATACCGGAAAAGATCAGTTCTATCAGCCAATTCATGTCAAATGAAAAACTTCAGCTTTAGTTAATAAATTAGCACCAACAGTCCCAGATCTTGAAAAGGGAGTTCCTAATTGCTAGCGTCACTTCTCTTTCAATTTTGAATTACATTGTTTTCCTGAAAAAAACCACTTCTATGTCGTATTTCAAGCACCGCCTCACAGTGTATGAAAATTTCTTCTGTGACCAAGACTCAGGCTTTGGAGTCCAGCCTTTGCTGTGTGCAAGCTCATCCCAGAAAATACGTATTTTGATTTGCTGCTGGCGTCTTTTAATGAAGGTCAAAGAAACATATGGACTTGGAAAACAGAGTTATAAAAAGGAAAATCTAGATGTATTTGAGCAATCTGCTGAGTTTTGTAATATTCCTAATTAAAAACAAATAAAATCAACCCTAATTTTCCAGTATGACGCAGACTGAATTTTATGTTTAAACTCAGYCACAATTTAAAGCGGCTGACAGCCTCAGAAGAAGGGAGGAACCAGCGTTTAAAAAAATAACCAGGATTTTCTTAGATCGTCGTGTTGACTTTAGGTACAAGTCATACTGACAGATTATTCATTATTCAAGTTCCCGAAGAGCACGATCTAAAAAATGCCCCAAACTTCACCAGAAGTTGTGCTGTGACTTCCATAAAATCTGAATCAGGCTGTTAGATCTGAACATGCTTCTCTTTCACAAGCGAGAAATTACCTAATCGTTAAATCTGGTAACAACCACTCAACAAGAAAAAAGGCGTAAAACAGAAGCCAACAACCATCTCTCTCACATTACCATTATTTATCTTTTCTGTGCTTACTAAAGCACTCTTATAAACCCCAAAATTCATTCTTACAAACACCAAAGTTACAGAGTGGGAATTCTGTTCATCAGAACGAAGGACTCAACTTCCAAAAAATAAAAAACACTTTTAGCATCCTACTCCCTTTTCTCCGATATAAGAGAAACAAAAATGGCACATAACATTATTTCTGCATGAAACCACTGAATTTTGAGGTGGCCCAATCAGCAAATTCCCTGCAAAGCAGGCACCAAGCAGGTTTGCAAGCCAAGGTCGCAGAGAGAAGTGCCAGAACAGAAAGCAATTAAGGTCCCGTTCTTCCCCTCCCTACGCAATGCACCGAAAATGAAATCAACATCCAAACTAATCAGTTTCCAGCACAAGATCAGTTTACTTGCTAACAGGAGGGTGGTTACTGCTCTTACCAAAAACTTCTAAACATACCATACAAAATCTTGCTTAAGCCACGGGACCATGCCAGGCACATCCCAGTGTTACCATATACGGTCACCAACACGAATATGATGGCAACTTGACAGATTTGGAACAAATATTGCGTTGTCTGTCACTGGGATAACATAGGCAGGAAAATATCAGATTGTATTACCTGTGTCCAGCTGGAGGTGTGGCGTGGCAGGAGCTACATTTGCTGCAGGACATAGCCACTGAAGGTTAGTGACCCAAGATGGCATTAATCCCTGCAGAGGAGGGCCAGGGCAGGACACTGAGGATTTTTATGCCCAGTATGGGGCTGCTTGGAGAGAAGAGGAATGGAATAACACGAGGGATGAGCCGCTGGAGCTGCGCTGTCATCCCAGGTTCAGAGCAGACGTTATCCGTCGCGGCTGGAAACCAGCCTTGGCTGTCAGCTGGAAGGCTCAGTGCCTCCTAGAAAACCAGGTTTTGTTCTCCAATAGTGGGTTTTGTGCACACAGGTGCTCTAGTMTTCAGTCACGAGGGAAAGAAGGGGATATCTACCAAAACAGCACCCAAGGAAGACTTTTTGGTACAGGCTGCCTCCAGGAGATCCTTAGCCTGGAGWAGGATTTGCCACTAAGAGAGTTACTCCAGATAAAGTTTTTTGGAAAGGATATTCCAGTGTGATTGCAGGTATAGACAACCCTTTGCCAAAGTCCTTCAGCTTCAGCCCCAAAAGCATTGGTTCAAACACAGCCAGAGCTATCTCACCCTTCATCCCTCCAAACACTGACAGTTCTACCACCTGGACTTCTAAAATCAGACCTGCTCTCTGCTTTACCTAGATACTTCAAAAGTATTACCTCTTTCTGAAGAGATTATCTTGGTTTGCYAAGATATTCCCTTTTTTTCAGTGTCTTTCAATCAGCGATGAGATGCATTGGCGGGACAGAGCCAGTAGGCACAGATCTGAACCCAGTAAAACGCTCCTTTACGTTGGGAGGAGTAAAAAAAAAAAAAATTGCCACATAAACCAAATCAATCATTCCTGCATGGCCTTTTGCCTTAAAAGGTGTCACCTAAATAAAGATGTGAAAATAATACAACCTAACATTTAAGCAAGATTGCAGCTGAGCATTCAACTGTCAGGAAATATCAAAGCTGGAGMGCGTGGGCAACTTAACTCTGCCCCCTTGTGCAGATGCACCACGGCACAGCCCTTCCCCAAGCACGGGCACAGCATCAGTCAGCTCCAAATTCACACCCTAACTCCAGAATAAACTACTTTTGCCTAATATGAGTAGGAAAGAAGGACCATCACTTTCCCAGAGAGCCTCCTCAGCCACCTTTCCTCACTTGATCACCAGCCAGCGAGCAYCTATTCAACTTCTGCCACCTCAGATCAGGAGGAGCTGGCACACTTTGTGCCACACACGTCTGATTTGCAATCAGGATACAGATATTAAATGCTGTTTGACCAAGACAAAGAGCCCTTCTTCCTGCAAAGAGCCTCAAGACCTCAGGCTGAGATTTGGCTGAAGGATTGCCTATAAAACCTGAGCGACTGTAGCAGGTAACGTTTACACATCTCCAGCGGCCAAACCCCTTGCATGAGGTGTTCAGGAAAATTCTGCAGGCACGTTGAGAGCCTGGCACATTTTTCCAARAATCTGAAATTATCCCAATGTAAACACCTGACAATCGGAGATATTTGTCAGCACAAAATAAAGTTTCAGAGTTCTGGGGAGCGTCTTATCTCTGCTCACATGCAAGTTTGATCTTCCATCTACCTCGTTCATTATCAAAAATACTCTCAACCTGAAGGRTGTCTAAAGCAGGATTTAAATGTCAGGATTTTGTCTATATTTTTAAAGCAATGACTCCTGTTTCTTCTTCACTTCCTCTCAGCACATGAATGAATGACATTTTTCATGGGTTTGGCCTTGGCTTTTAACCTCTAGATAATTTTAAATAGCCAGAACTATCTTTCCATACATTTACACTATGGGTTTTTCCAGCTCTGAAAAGTGTTCAAATAACCCAATTACCAACATGATCCTATYGAAGTTATATTAAAAAGACCTTTCCATAGGAAAAATTATGTCATCCAGAAATTACTGTTGCTAATTTTCTGTCACTTCTTCACATGACAACAGCCCACAGCACTTCACTTTCCAGAGGCATTAAGTGTAGGAGCAAGACAATTGCAAACCAAATTTAAACAGGGTCAGCCAGGAAAGCAGCCGATACTCAGCTCACATCAGAGACAAGAATCTTTTTGTCTTCTCCTGCCCACTTCAGATCTTTTCCGGAACTCCACCAACTTCTCAGGTCCATTGCAATAAAATACATCCATGAAGTCATCCTAATTCATACACTCTGCCCATCGCCCACAACTTAAACTGAGTCTCCATTGTAAGCCCTGCCTGGAATTCAGACTTGAAGGAATTACAGCCTATATACTGTTTTCTTTTTCATTCAGCTTCCAGCCAAATAATTTTATAGTGCTTTTGCCTCCATAAAATATTTGCTTGAGAGCCAATGCCAAGAAGAAGAAAAAATAGCAGTGCACTAACCCAAACTTGGGCTTTCAGAGTAACTCTCCCCCTCTTCTTTCCCACCCTCAATCCCCCAGGACTTTTTTTTTTGCAAGTTACAGCCCAAGTGAAGGGCAAGTTCAAACATTTTAATTCACAAGTCCATCATGCTGGATGATTTAAAGGTCTTAAAACAATTCATGAAACTCTGATACCGTTGGGAATTGCAGTTGGAGCAATCTGAATCCTAAAGTCATAGCCCCATTCTCCTGGAACAATGCAGCCCCTACTTTGTGACAGAGGCAAGGAGCTGAAAGCCTGGATTCCCATTCAGGCTTCCCAAGGACAGCACCCACCAAGGTACAACACCAGMGAAAGCGGAGGAAGAGCCGCCACTCCTCACACTCTGATCCCAGAGCTTTGCTAAAAGCACTTTCCCATAAAGAAACTTTTTTCCTACCCCCATCATGCCCAGGTCAAYGCATTTCAATTTGCCTCTGGAAGGGTAACCTGTTTATTGAAATCTGATCAACTGCTGGAGCCTCAGCRCTAAAATACGCTCTCGCTGTTGGGAACTGTCATTTGTCTGTCACCGGGCAAGTTAATGGATGTGTTTGTTTAGTTTGTAAGTGGGAATACACAGGGCAGAGGCTGGAGGGATTACAGGAGAGGAGAGGCACTTCTGATCCACAGAGGAATGCAGTTGCTTTTCTTTAAAATTGTCTGTGCATTTTTACACAGGCACAAGAAAATCCCCTGGAAGTTCACCTGCACCTAACAGACCTCAACAAAGCCGGAATGACCGCGCTCCATCCCAAACCACGGCCCCAAACCATGCAGGTAGGGAGGCACCACAYGTGGGCACAAATCTGCACCTCTGTGCAGATAAAAACATCCAGAGGGACAAGTCCGGGGACACAGGGGAGTTTGGACAGCACGAGCCCACGGAGCAGAAAGAAGCATGAGAGTCACAGGATGTTCGCACCAAGCGCAGTCCCCTTACCTCTCGCCGAGTCCGAAAAYGCAATTATCCCTGCGAAAAGGAGCRCCAGCTGCAATTCCATTTTGAAAACCAGATCCCGCYGTATCGCACAGGCTACTGTCCTCTCAGACCTGGAGGCAGGAGAAAGGAGAGCAGAACAGTTACTGAGGGGGAAAAAACTCCAAACAGCCCTCAACTTTGCATAGTTTTAAATTCTATTGCGAAAACTTACAAGAAGAAACAGCAAATGAAAGAGAAATGCGCTTGTAATTCATTTTTTGGTGCTCAGCAAGTAAAACTTTGCCCTCCTCTCTGCTTTAGCCTGATATAAATCAAGAACCCACTGAGGCCAGTAAGCTCCTCTAAGTTTACAGTTAATGCATAATTCTTTGGTATCCCGTACAGAACCAGTCTGGAAGGCAAACAAAACACTAGCAAGTGGCCATAAAACAAGATTTCAGGTTAACAATTTGCGGAGGAACTCGGTGGAAGGGGGAGGAGGAATGYTACCTCTCCCATCAGCAGCCCAGAAAACTTTGCGTTGCTGCTCCAGTGCCCCTCAGCCAGGCTCCGCTCTGGGTACGCGCCTTCCTCCACTCCGAGACTTCTCTKCACTGCACTGATTCCTCCTTTCCTCTCCTTCCCCCCACCAACAGCCCCACTTGCTTCCGTGGGCTCCAGAGGTGCGTCCCAAAGCACAACCGCACTTAATTACCCAGATTCTTGAAGATGCCTTCGCTGCGATACCGCACACCCRGGGTAGATCAGGTTTACATTAATTACACCCTGTTCTCCTCCTAAAACTCTCACTCTCTAAACACTGTCTGGATTCCTCACCCTTGTAAAACTGCCCGGTTTAAACACCCCGTGCCCCCAGGACACACAACAACCCGCGTACAGCATCCAGCAAAGCAAACACGGCCGCTCCGCCGTTCGCTCCGCCGCTGGCGGCGGGCAGGGGCGCGGGGGGCGCAGCGCGGCTCGGCTCGGCGGTAACGGGATATTCACCGCCGGGAATCGGGAATCGGGGTCGCGGAAGGGAGGAGGGACGAGCAGGGGGGACACCCGGCGCGATGCCACCACCTGGTGCTGCCCCGCGCCTCAGGGTTGCGCCGGCGGCTCCCAGCTGTGAGTTACCCGGCCGCGGCGTGTGAGGGTGTCCCGGCCCCTCAGGGTGTCGCGGCCCCTCAGGGTGTCCCGGCCCCTCACGGTGTCGCGGCCCCGGCGGGGTGTCCCGGCCCCTCAGGGTGTCCCGGCCCGGGGTGGCGGAGCGGGGCACACTTACCTTGGCTGCTGCCGGGCTCTAACACCGCGCGCTGGAGCCCATCCCCGCCGCTCGCCGCCTCATGCCCTCCGCGGCCACGGCGCCCGGCGGGCGCTCCGCCGCCGGCCTCTACCTCATCCCCCCCTCCCCGGGGTGGCGGGGGCTGCCCGGGGGTGCCCTCCCCACGGAGCGGCTCTGCCCCTTCACCGGCTTTTGAACAACCTCCCCCCCTTCGCCCCGGCGGGCGGTTTTTTTTCCACTCGAGAGTCACGGGCGAGGAGGTCAGGGAAAGGGGGAAACCTTGTAAATTATTTTTTTCCTGCTTTCCGGGCCGGGCTGAGCGTGTGTGTGCGGGGAGGGACAGCGGGGACCTGCCAGAGCCTCCGGGGCTCCGCGCCGCGGGATGCCCGGTGATGCCGTCCGGCGGCTCGCCCAGCCGGAATCCCGTTTAAGGAGCGAGGGGAGGAGGGGAAAGGGGCTGGGGAAGGGGAGGGGAGGGGGGGGAGAGCCGGGGAGAGAGAAACCGGCGATAAAGCAACTTTCCCTGCAGGGCTTTGTGGCGGTGGGGGCCGAGCCGCCGCGGAGGGCGGTGCGGGGCCCGCCCCGCTCCAAACTTCGCACCAATCCCCGGGAGCCCCCGGCAGCCCCCGCCCTCCGCCGGCCCCGCTCCCCTTAACCCTTTRCGGGCGGCTCCGGCGGGTGCGGAGCGCTCCGTGCGCCGGGAGCGGGCGAGTTTTCCCGCAGCCCCCGCCGCTCCCCAGCCGGGCACTCCCGGCGCTGCGGTGCCCCAGAGCGTTCCCTTCCCCGCACCCCGTCAGCCCTCCGAGCCCGCAGCCTCCCGCAGCCCAGAACCCGGCCAAAGCACCCATCTCCCCACGCCAAGAGAGAGCCCCGGCCGTGGACACCCACCGCAAGGGCTGCGGGACAGATGGGGGGCGGCTGCGCCGTTTCGATCTCTCGGCTTGAATGCAAATGATGCCAGAAAGAAGCTGGCCTGAACTAAACTAAACCGAGCGGAAAATAAACTGTGGAGATGTCAGTTCCTTATATTAACTGTTACAATTATTTTTTATTTACTTTCAAGCACGACTCGGTTGATGCATCCGCTCTTACAGCAAATCACTCTTYRCACAGGATCAAAAYCAACCTGGTTGAATTAACCAAACAGACTAAACAAATGACAAGAAAAAATACTGCCTCAATAGCTAAASTTTTTGTATCTCAAAAGAAACATCATTACTGTTGACGTTACAGTTTCTTAGATCTCTTGCTTGATATGCTCCAGCATGAAGACCTCCTTGAAAACAAAGTTGTCTCAATACTAATACAATGTGATAGGCACCAGGAGAACTCCTAAACCCAAGCCAAGAAGTAATTTCAACATCCATTTGATCTATTTTGTTACGATTATGAAATCACACCCTCTATTATTGTTATTACTAAATATTTTTACTCAGTGGTTCCTGACAACATTAAATCTTGATACACAAAATCAATGTGAAAAACATCCAAGACTAAACATATAAAACCCTTGAGCCAGAAACAAAGCGGCTGACAATACTGTTTTTACATTTTACGTATTTATATCATCGTTTTTATCATAAAAGTYAATTCAGCTGAGAAATCCCAGATGGACTACTCCTCCTGTCAGGCAATAACTTCAGCCTCATTGAGTTCAAAGACAGTGTTGACTGAGGGAAACCTTCAGGACTTAACTGACATGATCATGTTCATGCCATGTCTTGTGATAAAATCACTCCAACTTKCACCAGAATTAGAGCTCAGCTTCATGCTRCATCWCAGGGGATGATTGTAAAACACCTCWCTGTAACATTTTCCAGCCATTTCACCCCAAAGGAGTCAAGGTCTTTGTCCCAAGGACATCACCACACGGGTGACCCAGTTCTGTATCTACACATCCTGTGTTTTTGTGCAGACTGAAGTCCAAAGCAGCCCAGGTTCAGATGCAGATGTGGGGCATTGGCTCATGAGTGGGTTTTCCACCAGATTAGAGAGACCTGATCAAGCTCCTACTCCTCAACTTGTTTTTTTGAGTCATGCACCAAGACTGAGGTTTAAATACAGATACACCACAACTATCTTGTCTCAAACTGTGTAAAGGCTTGGATGAGCTCCCTCTGGGCCTCAGTCAGCTTTGAAAGAAAAGGTCTTCCAACCCAGGTTGTGCCCAAGCCCAGCACCGAGCACCCAGCTCAGGTTGGACACAGCAGATAAAAATCCTCTGATGGATCCACTCCTTTCATCTTCAATTCTTTGTTGAAAACTACATGTGCCATTGTGGGCTCCAACATCTCCCAGACTCTGGGCTTTTCTCTTCCCAATACAACTGAAGAGCAGCAAAATCTTTCCTGCAGCCTTTCACCAGTGTGAGATTCTGGGAGGTGTAKGATTACAGTGGTGGTACACATGATGTTAAAAATTATTCAGGTGCCTCAACACCTTCAGAAGCTCTTTAAGCCCCTGTMTTTAGGTACCCAGAAGCTTTTCAAGAATCTGATTCCAAGTGATGTTACAAAGGGATTACATGAGGCAGGGATTGGAACCCACAGCTTCCATACCCCAGGCTAAAACAACCAGAAAATCAACCCCTCTGGGTTCAAAATGTCAGCATTATTTTATTGTTTTTTTAAGGGGCCTGTGAGTGCCCAAAAGAAAGTCTGAAACCATGTTGTGGATTTCATCCATCTCAATCCAAATGCCACACTGGAGGAATAAATGTAAAATATTGACGCAAGGAAAATAATTAATATTCCTGAAACAGCTCCTAGTTTATCAGAAACAAAATCTCGTGTTGTTTTCCCAACACTTCTACCTAAAAAAGGAAACATGCAGAGCTATGTTTTTTTTCTGGGCTGGCTGTAATTTGCAGGATGATTGAGTAGTCTGAAAGTCACAGCCCCAGTTCACTCCTGCACCYCACGGTCCTGAACAAGGCTGTGGGAAAGCAGCTTTCTGGAGCTGACAAACAAAAATGAATGCTAAGCAATGAAATACGTGTCTCCACATGGCCTGAGAAGCAGCCTAACAGTCCATTTGTATCCCAGTTGTCCCCAAAGCCCTGTTTCCGCACCGTGGCTTTTCAAATTTTGCATAGCTGTGATGGTCTAGTGAACATCCATCCCCAAGACAACTTCCCTCATGTCTCCAAAACCACAAATTGGACTTTTTCCAGCTTTTTTACCTCTTTTCTCTCAGGAGCTGCTCACCTCCATTATCACAGAACTCCATTTTTCTCCTTCCATCTCAATTGTTTTGCCTTTTCCTTCCCCCTGCAGATGACCCGTGAGACAGGGCACACCTCCAGACTGTAACTCCTAACCTATTTCAGTGATTTTTTTTTTCCAGGTGGCAGCCACGCCGTTGAATTCCCCGTGGCACCCAGCACTCCGTGGGGTTTTCCAAACCACTTGGGTTGGCAGCAGTGCCTCACAGGAGGAGCACGAGGCAACATGGCAYGGGTCCATGGGGACATGCCACCGGGCAGGAGGGTGTGCGGGGCTGGGCGGCTCCGGGCAGCTGACGGAGCACGTGAAGGTGATGGAAGGGCATGACCAGGATTAGCACGTTCCCTCCACCTGCCGTGCAGCCCTGCTCTGGTTACCCTGCTCTGGTTACCCGGTGGGGTCAGCCTGAGCATCCCTTCAGGATTGCCCCTGGAAAAGGGGGGTGCTGTGGATGCAGGGAAAGGTTAAGTGATGGGATTGATGGGGCAGAGGGCRGATCAGGTCTGATAAAGCATTTGGCGTGTGGCAGGATGGCASAGAAAATGTCACAGCTGGGAAGACRGAGYACAAGAYRCACTTTTCCATTTGCACAGCACCAGAGTCTGCTCCATTTCAGTCTATAGTTAGGGTGAAATGGTGTTTTTCAGAGAAAGCAGAGTTTTAAGAGAGCAGAATCACTGTTTTCCCTATATGTGGTAACTGAGACCTGGCTATAAGCTAGGTCATTTTCAGAGGGGATGTACGGACGATGGAAAGATCAAACCAGGGTGATACCATACTGAAATCTTTATTTGTTTCTTCATAAAAGATGTCTTATCTTCTCTCATGTAAATAYACATTTATTCCCTTAGTAATATACATTCTCTCATGCAAAAATACATTTATTCCCTTAGAGTAGCTTTGCTCTAAGTGGTGCTGCAAAGRAACAAATGGTTCTTCATATGCATACGGTTCACGTCTATACACACAGCACAAATGCCAATGTCTGACAGAGGAGAAAGGATGGTAACAGGGTGGTTGGATGTTCCAGCATCCAAACCTTGGGTCCTGTGCAGCAGGCAGGGAAGTCCCACTTTGTCAARGCTGTTTTCCAGGGTTTTCATGGCTTTTCACAGGCCCAGATGATCCCTCTGCTACCTTGTGGGAAGCACCCACAGGAGAGAGYTCCTGAAGCACCACCAGGAGAGATTTCCCAGCCCTCTCACCAAGAACCAGTCACACACACTGCCCAGCCTCGCTGTGCCTGAGAATGTGCTTGGATTTCTYGTGGGTGCTAAATTTGCACATGACGGCATCTGCAGGAAATCATTTCCACCGTTCCCAGTTGGCCGGGAGACCCAATCTCTCTCTTGGCCAGGTTGGGCACGCTGTGTCAGCGCTCCCTGGCACCGGGGAAACGTGACAGCCCT